TTTTACAAAAAATATTTAGTTTATCATTAAGCTCAAGTGTCTTTCCAGAGATATAGAAGAGAAGTTATATTACCCCAGTCCATATAGGTGGCAATTGAAAAATTATTGAAAACTACCTAGCTATATTTAAAATTTCAGTTTTCGCTAAATCTTTTGAAGGGATTGAAGCTGCAAAACTTGGTCCATTATTAAATCCTACTTTAATTTCCGACCAACATGGTTTTATTCCAGGGCGTTCTACTACTACCAATCTTTTAGTTTTACAAGATTTTTTTGTTGGATGCTCTTGAAGTGTATGATCAGGTTGATGTCATTTACACCGACTTTTCGAAGGCATTCGATAGAGTTAATCATACTGTGAAACCTCAATACTCTGGGAGTATTGGATTTTAGGAAGTGTAAGACTTCCAAATTCCAGAAGAACTGGAAGAGAGGTGATGAAAATACTAAAAATATGGCTAAGCTCAGAGGAACAAAGTTAAATGGTCAAAGAGACACTAAATCTCAAGTGAGTGTTCGGGCTAGCTTCAATGCACTGGATTGTGGCTTTAAAGATATAAACAGATAGCAAGGATACTGAGCTAATGAGACAAGAAACGAAATGAGACCTGGTAATATCAAATGTGATACAACTAAAGAAGGTCACTGGGAATAAATTTATAGAAAGAGAACAAGAAGAAGAGAGAAAGAAGGGCGCCAACTCAACGATAGTTGAGATTTTGAAGTAACAAAGAACAGGAAACAAATGATACTAGAGATAATAACCTGAAATACAAAATATTAAATACCAATCTTGTCTTGCTATATTGTATACTGGTTAGTAGAACTGAAATAAAACTCAAAATAGTAACAATAAATATATTTATAAAAATGTGTATATAGATATATATGTATGAACAATTTACATATAAAGCAAAACTAAATAACAGTGGTAGTGGGTGTGTAAAGATACAATAGGACCAAATAGCCCCTCAACAAGTGAATAATCACTACCACTGGCAAAATAAAGTATAAAATATCAGTAGAAATTTAAGAATAGTCCGTATCATAGCCAAAGTCTTAACACAAAAAGGTAGTCATTTAAATTTAAATTAGTTCTACTACAAAGATACAAATTACAATATTGTAAAGATATCAGAAGTGATAATTCTGTTACAATTATATTAAATATATTACGTCCAAAAATGAGTCTTCAATACTTCTTATATAATGTTTTAAAAAAAAAAAACCACATGAAATTTATTTCCCTCCCCCAATATCAAAATTGTATTATATCATTTATATTGTATTAAAAAAATATATTATAGCAAAAGTGAGTTTGGTCAGTACTCTTGAAATCCTAATTAAAATAAAACCTCATAAAACATGAAAGGTATTTTCCCTCTCCCAATAATATCAAAATTATATTTTATCAAAATGTAGTCACTTGATCATATGCATATGAAAAGTTAACAAAATAGACAGTAACAAAAAAATTACACAGTCAAACAACTTATCTTTACAGCACTATAAGTCCATAGAAAAAACTCCTCTTGGCACGGCTAAATCAGTTTGTTGCTGTAAAGGTCAAATCCCAGGTGAGTCTGGGCATAAAACCAGTCACTGGTCTATCTGGAGTGACGGCAAAATCCAGGAGAGTTGCTAACCATTTAAGAAATTTTGTTACTAGTCCTTGAGGGAATATTCTTAAGAGAATATCCTCAAGTGAAGTGACGGAATATGGAGCCGCAGCACGCCAAAAAAATCTTCCTTTTCATGTGGAACTCTTATAAATGAATCTTGCTTTTAATAAATTAATTATTATTATTATTATTATTACTGAGATATGATTATTGAATTAGATATTATTTTATTCGTCCCAGATTATTTTACTGCTCCAATTCCGTCACTTTGAATTGATTGACGTGGCTGCGTAGTACGAGTTTCTTGACCAAACTGCTTTTCTACCGCACAAAATCGATCAATCCTTTCCAAGCGCTCCCAGCGCGTGAGTGGAGAAATGTCGATTTAAAAATCGATCGCTGGCGGAACACAAGAAATTTCGTGAGGGGCTCTGTGAATACGATTTTTAAATTGAATATTGGATTAATCAGTAGCGTAAACGCTACAACTGTCCTAATCTCTAAACTTTATAATGCTGGTTTACATTAAAGATTATTAGGCTGGATGGAGAGCTGTCTCACAGATAAAACTCAAGTACTATTAAGAATAAGATCGAAAATACCTTTTTATATAATCACATTGTGCTTTAATAGTTTAAGCTAAATTTAAGTTGATTTGTAAAAAAATGGCAAGTCCGTAAATTCATTCCAAGTGTGTACTTAAACGAGGTAACATCGTATCAGTGTATCGCTCCGAGTTTTAGTGCTTTTTGTGAAACCAAACAAAAAATACTAGTAAGATCAGACTTTACCGTGTATGTATTGATAAGCCTAATTGCATGTTTTTTTGTTGGATCGATTAGTTAATTAGCAAATTGGTAATTTCTTCAAAAACGGACTGGCTACCAGTGGCGTAGACCTACCTAATATGTATTTTTGGAAGAAAATATATAAAACCTAACTAAAGTCAACAAATCATTAAACTTTTCGGCTACCTTTGACTGCAAGGGTACCGATAATAAATACAGTTCTTACGTCAGATCCTCACAGTCCACAACTTTTCAAGATGTCACAAAATATTCAGCATAATTTTACATCAACTTCTTCATATGCAACTGCAACCAAGTCAACTCCTAGATCAACTTTTGTGTCAGGAGGTGACGCTATTGGTACCAAACAAATCCTATTTGCATCCAGAATCTCTAATAACAGAATTTGTATCTATTTAACTAATTCAGAACTCGTCGACAAACTTTTAAAATCTCAGCGTTCTCCTAGTAGAGATATTAAGAAACCAAAAAAGAAACCCAAAACAAGTTCACCGTCAGAACGTTACCTTTCTGGTTTAACAAAAGACGCTATCAAAAAAGCCTTTAAGAAAACCTCAGAATCACTTGTTATTCCTCTAGAATTCTCAACTTGTCAGTAGAGGTCTAGAAAAACCGGCTAATCCTGCTAACCAAAAAACTGATAAAGACCTTAGGATTCAATGGAACTGCGATGGTTTTTACTTCTACTACTACTACTACTACTACTAGAATACTTACAAATAGACAATTAGACCTTACTCAGATCGGACTATTCGCCTAAGTTTATCTGCCTTCAAGAAACCAATTTCACCAAAGCTCACAACCACTATGTAAAAAAAATACACTAGCTATAACTTCTTAAGATCTACACACCTAAGAACAAGTGGAAGCACGTCTATTTCTCTTTCCAACGATATCTTCCATCAAGAGTTTGATATATTTCTTCAAACTACAACTTATTAGAACTAAGTGACAAATTCTTTCATTTTAAACTCACGAAAGTAGAAATCCGAAGATTTCTATTGACGAAACCAAAATCCAGATTTTGACTTTAATCTGTGCCTTCTACGAATTGCAAGGCAAAACAAACCATGCTAAAAGATATAAAGAGAGAAAATGGGGAGTCTGGGGGTCTAAAAATTGCATTATACAACATATCTCCTCATCTAAGCAAAAATTCTTGGCGAATTAGTTTCTTGTACACTTAAAGACTATATCGAAATAAAAGACAGTTTTTTAAATAAAAGACAAGATTTAATTTTGCGTATACTGCCTCTGTATATTCGCTTATACGTATTTCATCCTAACATCACTCAGCAGAGCGACGTTGCAGATGCTCTGAACGTGAAAACAATTTTTACCGACGAAAAAAGCAACAATAAAATGTGATTTCAGAGTGGACGCTATAGCGACATCTGATAATAAATCACGAAAGTAGAAATCCGAAGATTTCTATTGACAAACCAAAATTCAGATGTTTGCATTAATTTGTGCCGTCTGAGAATTGTAAGGCAAAACAGACGATGCTTAAGGATGTAAAAAGACTGTAACAGGCGCTCTGATAAGTCCTGTTAGGATGAAATACGTATAAGCGAATATACAGAGGCACTATACGTGAAATGAAATATTAACTGTGTTTCTTTTATTTCAATATAGGTACTCTTTATGACTACAAGAAACCAATTCGGTAAGGATTTTTTGCTTTGATGAGGAGATATGTTGGGGAATGCAATTTTTAAATTCCTCATTTTCTCTTTACATAAATAACCGAAACGCTAGCTGAATAATTTCAAAACAAAACCAAATTTCGTACCCCACAAACCTTTCACCACCTAAATTAATCCAATAATCTTTGCCTTCACAGAAGTAGAGTTAAATTTGTCAATCTCAACGATGGAAACTCATCTGCAGGTCCTGATGGACCCGTCTATCTTTCTCAAAAGTCTACAGGCAGCAACCCTCTCGAAGCTGCTTGCGCTCTACAATGTGATATGGTACAGCCAAAGCTCTCCGAGTCTTTGGCGACAGTCGCTTACTAAACCGATCAGAAAAAATGACTCATCTTCTAGCACTGCCAATGCCAACAGCATTGCAGTCAAAAAATTTTGTTTTCAAAAAAAATATATTATCAGAAGGCTCAGAATGACACCTCATCAGTCCAGCATGTTACTAGAATGTGTCCACTACAAATTTCAAGGAGACTACTACAACTTTTAAAATAATTTAAATGACCTACTAGGTTCTACAAACATGTATATTAATTCATTTCCTAAAAGACTGTCACCTTTACTATATACTTAGTGTAATTATATTATGATGTAGCTAATGTATCCTAACTTGTATATAAAGAGATTGCATATGTATGTAAACGTAAACATATTATTATAAACTTTGTACCAGTGTCAATGGCCCGTAGTTGCCGAGACACTTAAATTGAAATAATAAAAAAAGTATTAAGATTTTATATTTTTGTGACATTTTTATCTGATACTGTTTAACTTAATTCGAGACAATTTTTATTGTCACCGATTATTGTGAGTAAATCTATTTCTATTCTGTTCTAATAATGTTTTATGATTTATTTTTCTAGTCATGTAATGATTATTTAAAGTTCGCTCAAAACCATGGTCATAAGCTTATAAGAGCCCTGCAACATGAAAAGGAACAAAGAGGTCGCCTGCAAGAGATGGTCGAAACTCTTGCTCAACAACATTCTAAATTAGAACGAGCAGCTAATGCACATTCACAACTTCCAGCAAGTAAGTTATAATTTATTATTTGAGTATATTTATTAAGGCACATTCACATTATTAATGATACAGAACTACTAACGTATGAGACATCTTCAGGATTACAGCAGGTATCACATTTTTTACTTTAATAATAATTTTATTTTATTCGTTTCTAACATGTGTATTTCTGTATTGACTATGGAATTTTACTTGGTTTACCATTAAATTAATGTTACAATACATATTTAACCTTTCTACAACAAACATTTAGTGTTATTTGAAAATTTGTTTGTATGTGTAAAAAGAGCAGGAATACTAAGTTATGTTAAGTGTAGTACTTTGCATATACAGTTTTATATTGCTATTAATTTAATACCTAAAATTTCTTTTTATTTTCTGATTCTTGCTGAACAAATTAAATATTTCACAAAAATCAGTATTTTTTTAAGTTTTGGATACAATGGTACAAAATTAAAACGTATTTGTCAATTTATTTTTTTTAAGTTTGTTTTATTTTGGATGTGAACCCATTGCCATTATTATATTGGTTTTTCGAAATCATTACTGAAATCAACTGAAATATTAGTCATAAAAACAATAAATCATGTAATTGTATTATTATTTTTTATGAGATTTTAAATAAGTGATGGATTCGAACGTTACTTGATGGTAGATCATTTTATCTAACAATAGTACACTGAAATCTTATGTTTTCAACGCTTCCACAAAATTTATTTTAATTTAATATCACTACAGCTGTTTGGGTAGAGTGCCTTTCTTAAGTGGTGAATCTGAACTGAATAAGTTGAGGCATGAAAACTGTTCGCCTCAAGTTAGTCATTTATAATTATATCTGTATTTTATAATTTATTAATTTCCATAGATACTTATAAAGATAGATTAAGACCTTTATTTTGAATATGGAGAATTTGAAATTGGTCATTAAAAGAATGATTATGATCTAGAAGGTTCTTACGCAGAATCTGTTTTTCCATTATTGAAAGGCCCTTCTTGTGTTCTACTATACGTTTGTTACAGGTGTGGCCAGTGTGTATACCAGTGTGGCCGATGAAATTTTTGGGCATCACATGTAAATTTGTATATGCCACTGTTTAACCCTTTCACTATTTTTGTACATCACCATGTACATTGAATTTCATTGCCTTATATGAAATTCAGAATTATTTATCTCCTAATCTACATTTGTACGTCAGAAAGTACAACCTATTTTTAAGTTTTTAGGTTGGTAGTAAGTGCGATAAAGTTTGACAATAGACGTTAGGCAACATTTAAAACGTGAGTGGCGTGTTGTGCAAACAGGTGCATTTTAGGTTATGTGATATATTTTACGTTTTCTTGTAAATCTACTAAAATTAGAAGTTTTATGATTTGCTATTGGTAAGTACATGTTTCAACGTTGGAGTTCCATAATAATTTATATTGCTTTATATAATACAAAGTCCACAGATGTAGTTTGAATTAGTATGTACATTACCATGTACAAACGCAGTTTGTGGACAATATATTATTAGACCATGTTTTTGCAAAAGTTATAAATTTTATTTCTATTTGGTATTAGTAGTGTCGGTATGGTGGAGACGCGAGACAATAAATTGTTGAGGGAGGGGCACCCCTAAAAATTGACTAAATGTAGTTTTCAAATTTTTAATTTTTTTTGTTTTATATGGATATTTACTAATGTTTGTCCTTCATGCGTTTGTTTTTGTTTTTTAGATAATGGCAAACGCAAGAAAAAATTCAAAAAGAAAGCTAACCCAAGAAGAACTTCTTTATTATCTCGAGAACGATGATGTTTCAGATATTGAGTACCTGTCAGATGATGATGATGGTTGGGAGTCAGACGAAATATCTAGAGAACAAAGAAATAATGACATTCTAGATGTAACTATAGATAAAAATAATGGAAAGGAAAATGAGCCTGAAAACAGCGACGTTGAAGATGTAGATTTGGCAGATGAAGAAGAAAGGTTGGTGCTAACTGTAAGTGGTGAAAATATGGGGGAAAATGACAAAGATGAGATGAAAAGGAACCAAACAAATTTTGAGAAAGAACATGGTCTTACTGACAAATCAAAAATAAATTGGATACAAGGGAAAATGTACAATACGAAACAAGAAATATTCATTGGCATTCAACCGTTCCGACTACCCCTGTTGTAGATTTGCCACCACCAGTTGAATTTTTTACCAAATATGTTCCTGATGAGATACTACAACAAATGGCTGATATGACAAATTTATATGCTACACAAAAAAATATTGCTCGATTTCCACCTACAAACTTGGATGAAATCAAGACTTTTATTGGGGTCCATATTGTTATGGGAAACTTACAGTTTCCTAGAGTCTGCATGTATTGGCACCGTAGTATAGGAATACCATTAGTAAAAGATTCCCTAAGTCTGTCTAGATTCTACAAGTTGCGACAGACAATACATTTGGTCGATATTTTGAGTCGCAATGAAGACAACAAAGATAGGTAGGTATTTAGATAACAAATTTTGGTATTTTTTTTATATATAATAATTTATTAACAATCAGAATTTCATATTCTCAAAGTTAATTTGATAACAAGCACAATAACAAAAACTATAATATTGTACCCTAATATGGCGTTATGAGGTACATGACCCAGCGATTTCACCTCAGTTTCAGCGAAGATCTATGGGCCATAATCTTCGCAATCTTCTGTTGTTTATTGGCTGCAGTATGTAAATACCACGGGGCATTTGGTATGGTGCGTAGAATTTTTGATTGCGTTATTTGGATTATTTTTGTATTTGATTTGCTGGCACAACTCCATAGTTCGATTCCATATGTCCATATAGGTCTGATGACTGTTTTATAAATTAGCAGTTTGTTCTCAATAGAGAGTTGAGATTTTCTACCAATAAGCCAATTAATTTATTTCACTCTCAACTCAATTTGTTTTTTCTTCTTCAAAATTTGCTTCAACTTGCTTTATTTATATTGCTTTGTTACAGATTGTGGAAAGTCAGATGTCTGTACGAGTCAGTAAGAAAAAGATGCCAGCAGCTACCACTAGAAACTAACTTGTGTGTCGATGAGCAAATAGTCCCATTCAAGGGACAAATAAATATAAAACAATATATGAAAAACAAACCCAACAAATGGGGTATCAAAATCTACATCTTGGCTGGCCAGAGTGGACTGATATATGATTTCTTGATTTATCAAGGTTCAACAACGCCCATTAATCCCATTTACGTAAAATATGGATCGGCAGCTGCTGTAGTTATGCAACTTAGTGAAAGAATATCTGAGAAAAACCACGGCCTATTTTTTGACAATTTCTTTAGTACCTATAATTTGATCCAATATCTGGACTCCAAGTCTATATACTGTATAGGAACCATAAGAGTTAACCGGTTTGCCAATCCAAAGTTACCCAGCGATAAAGAAATGAAAACAAATGGGCGTGGTTTTGCTGCTACCGCAATTAGCAAGGACGGTATTGTCATCACAAAATGGTATGATAACAAGGCAGTACTGACAGCATCTAACTTCGTTGGAATTGGAGAGTTGGATGAATGTAAAAGATGGGACAAAACAAGAAAAGAATATGTGCAGATTCCCAGGCCTGAAGCTATAAGACGATACAACAGTAATATGGGCGGCGTCGACAAGTTGGACTTCTTACTAAGTCTATACCGATCCTATGTCAGATCAAAGAAATGGACTGTGAGAATGATCACTCATGCCATTGATTTAGCCCTGGTAAATTCATGGCTTGAGTATCGCACTCAAGCTATTCTTTTGGGAGTAAACAAGAGGGAAATTCTTGATTTGTTAGCTTTTCGCCAAGAAGTGGCCGAAAATCTAACCTGCAGTAGACATGCTCCTAAAAGAGGCAGGCCTTCAAAAAGCTTCGAGGATCCAGGTCCCTCCAAAAAGAAAAAAACTGAAATAAGGCCTCTAAAAGACCTTAGATTTGATGGATACCATCATCTTCCACAGTATGATGATAAAAAGGAAGCCTCAAGATGCAAAAATGAGGGGTGTAAGAGCAGGACACATATATTTTGTCAAACATGCAAAGTTCATTTATGTATTTTAAAGGAAAGGAATTGTTTTTCCACATTTCATACAAAGTAAATGTTATAATTTATATTACTTTTGACAATGATCTGATTTATAAGAGTTTCTAATAAAAAATTAACACTCAATGGTTTTTTTTATTTCCATGAACTTTGTTTGTACATTGTGATGGACATCCTGTACTGGAAGGGTGGGGGTAGTTAAATTCTTTTTATGTAAAAAAAAAATAATCTATAGTGCAACAGTACTTTGTATACCAAAAATTAGAATTTTGTAATCACTCTAAAGGGAAGTGATAGTGAAAGGGTTAAGTGGTTTTTCCTTTGGCGCTTGTTGTTCTTAATATATGTGCTTAAGTTGTTGTTTTTTCTGACACCTGGTATATTTCCTTTATGTTTTTATGTGTTTAAGTATTATTGTTGATATCTATCCTGTATGTGTAATCAAGCAGAAGGTACAGGGTTTTTTCTGGTGGTGGGAATAACTTTTTGAGATAGAATTAAATTTTGAAAACAAAATTTTAAACCAAAAACTGCATAATAAAGCCCTGCAATGTCTTTTCACCACCAGATAAAAAACCCAGTACCTTCTGATCGATTATGTATACAGGCAAGATATCAACAAAAATAGCCAAACACATAATAGTCAAACACATAAAAAAGAAAGGAATACCAGCTTTCAGAACAAACAACTTATATAGCAAATATATTGAGAAAAACAAGAACAAAAAAAAGCTGTGACATTGTGTTTCATTCACATATACGACTTGATGACACACTAAAATCTTCAATACAATTATCATATGCGCACCCTACATAACTAGTTAACTAAAATATACTCATGGACAAAAATATCGAATATTTTGGAATTTTCTAATTTTTTTTTAGCCACTATTATTTTAAAATAATTTTATAGTACTGGTGTTACTCATATAGTAGGCTGATGCA